TGCTTGGTTCTCTTATGAAATATGTTTTTTCTTCGCGGCCCCACTCAATTCCGACAGACGGCCTCCCGCGCCGCGCGTCGACATCATTCGAACGCCCTTGACCGCGCGCGGGGGGGGGGGGGCGCTCTCGCGCGTCGGCCGCGCGCGCGCGCGTCGAACTCATTCCACAACCTTCATCACGGACGCGACGGCGGGGTCGTCGTCGCTCGAGCGGTCAGCATCGGCGCCGTCATTGGCACTGCCGTCGTCGTAGGCACCATCGTCACCAGCATCGCTACTATCATCATCGTGTTTACCGTTGCCGACGTTGCCATGATGCCGCGTCCGCCCAAGTCGCCGACTCGCACTGAAGTGCCCGCCGGGAGCTGCCCAGTGGTCAGCGCCACCGCGGCCGCGTCGGTCGCTCCAAACGAGCTGGGCCAGTGCGCGCGCGAGCACGCGCGGGCTTGCGCGGCCGGATACATGCACCAGCCGACGCCAAGCACGCATCACATGTTGCGGGTGTGTGGGATGACATCGCGAGCAGTAGATTGGATGTTGCAATGCACCGCGAACAAAACATAATCGCACCATGTAGGTGCGACCACAAATTTTGACCAACATCGACTGCAAAACGCTGATTCGTATAACCGCATCGTTCGGGGCCCACGCTGGCCAGCGTGCTTATGTTATTCCTCATCGCGAGAGTCGAACAGAGACTTTCGAGGTTGCTGGAAGTGTTTCATACTTGGGGGGGCCTCTGAGAGCCGCCTCGTCGCCACGGGTTCATCGTGTCCCATACCTTCAGACGTGGACGCACCCCTGGAGGGAACGCGCTCGAGTTGTCACCGCAGGTCCCAAACCCCTTCGCGTCGTGAAAAACATGAGGATACGTAGTTGGAGATTGTCGGCCCCGTGGGGCCTTGATTGGACCCCGGGGCCATCACACAGCGTCTCGGGAAGGGGGTCGACCTCCGGGGGTACACGTTTTGGAGACACGCACGGCGTCGGCAGTCGGGGATTTCTGGCGGTGGACGCAGCGATTCGGAACACCACGCGTTCCCGTTCGTCCTTCAAGGATACAAGCTGGTTGTTTGTTTTGCCAACGCATTTGTCTATAGACAGTGGCTTCTGGCAAAATATGGTGGTTGGACCGCCATGAATTTGCCGGTAGAGAATGTGATAGCGCTCGCCAGCAAATATTGCCTCGAATGTGCAGGTTCGTGGGAACATTTTGTCGAGCGGACCAACGAGCAGAAAAAATCATCAGGTGGTGGGGTTATCGTAAATTAGACCCGACAGTTGTTTTGACGCTCTTCCGTGCTGTGCATTTTCTTTTGCGTGGCACTCTTTCCAACCTTTGCGATTGCTCCCAGACTTTGTCAAAACACTTCAAACACAGAATTCGTACTAAAAGGACCCATGATTGCCATCCAGTCTGCTTTAGGATCTGGACCAACACCGACCCGGGACCTGAGAACCAGGAGACGGAGTTGGGAAAGGGAATCTTGAATTTATGACCCCACATGTGGCACCTAGGGGTCGACCAGGAGCAGGAACAGAATTGGAAATTCGGAATCCGAGCGGGACGTGGAACAGAAACGGCATCGGTGATGTTGTTGTCGGCTTTATTTCGGGCTCGTTCCGTTGGCGATGTTGTTGGGATTTCGCTCCTTGAGCGTTTTCGCTGAGATCCCTTTATGATGACTTGTTCCGCTGGGGTGCAAATCCACGGAAGATCCCGTTGAGGGGTCATCGTTTGAAGGACGGTCTTGCTGATGAGACTGTGGAGGAGTTGGTGGAGGAGGACGGGGCGGATGAGGAGGAGATTTGGCGACGGCCCGCTCCCCAATTGCAATTAATAAATCACATTATCCGAGACAGTCTGAATCTCGAATGCTGCGCAAAGCGTCACGCAGCCTCCTCAGACGCTCCACCTACTATGTGTTACCGTTTACTACACATCACCCTCCCCAAGTGTAAGTCTGCGCCACCATTAGTTGTTCGTGGAAACAGCCTTGGTTTTCCCGTTCCCAGAAAGTCTGATTTCGAGCATGAAGACGGTTCAAAGTAAAAACAATGGTTCGGTGACACGGAAAACAACAGTTCCGCAATTGCTGTTGGAACAGAACCAGAGAAATTGACCAAACGGCGACGGGAACGGACAAAACAGATTTCAATTTTGGGGAAACGGCGAACCGATGAAACGAACATGGAACCGAAACCGTTGTGTTGTGTCCAAGAACAGCTATGGCACCACCCACTCTACACAGAACCTTCCCCGAGTGTAAGTTTGAGTTCGTAGTCTCTCGGACATTCTTTCCGAGCGTAACGCTCATGCGTTTCGATCACCTCATGTTACATGGCCGCCACCTCCGATACCCTCTCATTGCTGCACAGGCGGCACCTCCAACATTCTAGCAACGGAGCGCCTCCGCCGGTGCAATGTTTCAAGCCACCTCCTATTCTACACATCATACTTCTCAAACGCTGCATCTAGTTCTCCATAGCCTCCCGCCTCCAGCGCTCTGCCCAGTACTTCGCAGCCTCCAATCCCAACAACAAACACACTACAACACAGCATCCTTTTCACGCGTAATTGCGAGACCACATACCATTCCTCTCTAATATTCTTCTCCAACCCTCCCGTATACGGTTCCCAGTTTGAATCGAGCATTGCGGTCTCCATTTTCTTGCCCGCCTCATGACCTGTTTTTGCCTCCTACTTTTCACCTGCTACCTCCCTTTTACCTTGTCTCCTACCTATATTTTACCTGTGGGCTCGCTGGGGGGCTGCGAACTGCGAAACTGCCGCCACCTTCGACAGCTGATGGTGGGCCCAGCACAGTAACGCCTTACGGGGATTCAGGTTAGACCTCGCCGGGCCTGGGGGGGGGACTGATTTGCGAGACTGTGGCCGTTTCGAGGGCTTCTGGAGAGGCCAGCAAATTGGGTACCGAGCGGCCGTTAACATTAGACCTGACAATGCCTTGGGGGGGGGTGCTGCGACGTGCGAAGCTGTCGCCAGTTTCTAAGGCTGCTGGGGGCGGGGATTCAGTTCAGACCTCGCCAGGCCCGGGGGGGGGGCAAACTGCGAAATTGTCACCAGTTTCGGTAGTTGTTCGGCGGGACATCATAGTGGGCACCGAGCGGGGTTCAGACTATCAACCTTGCTATGCCTCTTGGGGGCCGCGAACTGCGCAGCTGTCGACAGGTTCGAGAGACGCTGGGGGGGCAGCATAGTATGTACCGATCGGGGGTTCAGATTAGACCTCGCCATGCCTGGAGGGGCTGCGACATGCGAAGCTGCCGCCCCTTTCGAGGCTGCTGGGGGGGAGCACAGTAACGCCCTACGACCCTACGAGGATCCAGGTTAGACCTCGCCATGGAGGGCCGCGAATTGCAAGTCTGTCGCCAATTTCGAGGGATGCTGGGGGGACAGGGGAATGGGGGGCCTTCGGAGTTTCAGATTAGACCTCGCCATCTTTGGGGGGCTGCGAATAACGCTGTCGAGGGCTTCTGCGGGGTTCATCAGTGACGTCTTACGGGGATTCAGATTTGACCTCGCCATCCACGGGAGGCGGCGAGCGGGACCTCGCATCCCTGTGCGCTGCGAAGTGCGAAATTGTCGCCACGTTCGAGGGCTGCTGGGGATACGCAGACCAGAGCTGGAGGAAGAGGAATTCCAAGTACATTGATAATTGCCTTGTCCTTGTATTGTTGTCTTGGCGCCCCGCCGTGCTGCACTGATTTGTCTTCGGGCAGTTCTTCAAGGGCCTTCCTTTACTGTTCTGCAAGGAAGCCTGACCCTGAATCTAATGCCCTTCTGCTTCGCACCCACTTTGGGTCGCCCAAGGTTTCCGGCTTCCGTCGCAGACCGCCTCCAGTTCGTTACCCTTTGTCGTCGGTGGCTACTTCATGTTCTGGCCGTCCGCCCAGATTGTCATTACCTGGCCCTTGACTGCATGTGTTCAGGCTCACTTGGTCATTTGTGGTTTATTGGGTTGCCCTTCTGGGACTCTCGTCCATCTGGCAACTGCCTACCAGTCCAAGGTCACCGCTGTTCGCCGTGTACCCTTCCAAGGACGAGCCCTTCACGGTCCTCGGCTATGGGCACCGCTGCGTCGCAGCCTTGTCCGTCCAAGTGCACCTCCCTCTGGGCTTTCCGTTTCACGTTCGCCGTGTTTTTTTTGCAATGATTGTCTGATTGCCCCGTCACGATCTGGTTCGAGCCACCGCGGCTTGTGTCGCAGCCGCGCCTTGGCGCCTTGCATTATTGGCACGCTTGCGACGGCATGCCTGTGCTGAGCTGTTCCCGCCCTTTTCGCTGCTTCGCTCCATCAAGTTCCCGGCCTGTGCCTCAATTCGTTTTGCCATGTCCCGCTTGTTGCCCGACTGGCGCCTGCACCGTTGTCGCGCCTTTGCGCCCGCTGCTTTAACAAGTATCGGTGTCCCAGGAGTCCTCCTCGTGGCGAACTCGCGCTTAGCGTTCACAATTCCTAGCCGTCCTTTCCAGTTTCACCCCTACAAATGTTATCCAAGGGATCAGACCTCATGTTGCGCAAGGGTGGGGTTCGTCGCCAGGGTAAATCCGTTGAGGCCTCGGGGTGCAGTCCAGAGGAAGATCGAGTTACAAAGTACAATGCTCGGGTAGCGCCTCCAAAAATCGACCCCCGCTGCGGGCTATCACCGCGCGCCGAAGCCGATCCAACACGCGGCGCGGCGCGGCGACGAGGCGAGGCTGACCCCAGTCGGGGGGCACATTTGTCACCGAGCGCAAAGTATTTGTTCGACTCGTCGTTGGAGGTGGCGGGGGAAACCCTGACGTCCAAGGCGGGGAGCCCGACATTTGACGACGATGGGAGCCGTGAAAACCCGAGGGCCGCATCGGACCCGACCTTTTTTCTTTGGGAGCATTCGTGTCCCCCTATGGATTCATGTTTGATGGTCCCGGGGCAATCAACAACGATTTGCCAGAATGGGGAAAAACACGCCATCGGAAGGGCCCCGTGGCGGTGCAGATTGGCGGGCGCTTTGAAGCGGAACACCGCGCTGAAGACGCTGCTTGTGCAATTCGGGCACGGCCTCGGGTTCGTGGACTCGCTGGCGGCCGCCCTGCGGACAGCGTCCCTCCCTCGAGGGACCTCGAGGTTCGATGATGGAGTGCTTGAACAGGTTTCGGCGTTTTTGTGTTTGTTACCTAACAGCTCTTGCTGATAGGTTTCTAGTGGGCTCAAAAGAGAGCATCTTGACGCCCCAGGGGGGTCTGGGCGGGACCCGGACAGGGGATCCGGCAGGATCCGGCAGCCCCAGGAATCTTTGGGAATTTTTTTAAAAGAATTCTTACGAATCTTCAAGAATGCATTCCCAGAACACAATTTCCAGGCCACATTTTGAATGCCCGGAGCCAACTGTAGGCCACTTCGTGTTCTTCGTCTTCCCAGAACACCATTCCCAGGCCACATTTTGAATGCCCGGAGCCAACTGTAGGCCACTTCGTGTTCTTCGTGTCTTCCCAGAACACCATTCCCAGGCCACATTTTGAATGCCCGGAGCCAACTGTAGGCCACTTCGTGTCCTTCGTGTTCCCGGAACACCATTCCTGAGGCAGGCTGAGGATGAGGCAGGCTGAGACTGAGGTTGATGCAGACTGAGGCTGAGGCTGAGGCTGATGCAGGCTGAGGCTGAGAGGCTGAGGCTGAGGCAGGCTGAGGCTGAGGCTGAGGCCGAGGCAGGCTGAGGCTGAGGCTGAGGCAAGCCGAGGCAGGCTGAGGCTGAGGCTGAAGCTGAGGCAGGCTGAGGCTGAGGCTGAGGCTGAGGCTGAGGCAGGCTGAGGCAGGCTGAGGCTGAGGCTGAGGCTGAGGCTGAGGCTGAGGGCAGGCTGAGGCTGAGGCAGGCTGAGGCTGAGGCTGAGGCAGGCTGAGGCTGGCTGAGGCAGGCTGAGGCTGAGAGGCTGACGCTGAGGCCGAGCAGGCTGAGGCTGAGGCAAGCCGAGGCAGGCTGAGGCTGAGGCTGAAGCTGAGGCAGGCTGAGGCCGAGGCAGGCTGAGGCTGAGGCTGAGGCTGAGGCTGAGGCAGGCTGAGGCTGAGGCTGAGGCTGAGGCAGGCTGAGGCTGAGGCCGAGGCAAGGCAGGCTGAGGCTGAGGCTGAGGCTGATGCTGAGGCAGGCTGAGGCTGAGACAGGCTGAGGCTGAGGCTGAGGCAGGCTGAGGCTGAGGCAGGCTGAGGCTGAGGCCGAGGCAGGCGAATCCTTTGGAATCCTTAGGATTCCCTAGGAGTCCTTAGGAATCCCTAGGAATCAGGATTCCTAAGGATTCCTGAGGTTTCCTAAGGATTCCTAGGGATTCCTAAGGATGCCTAAGGATGCCTTAGGAATCCCTAGGAATCCTTAGGATTCCATTGGATCCTAAGGCCGTTGCCACTGCGACTGTCATTGCGAATGCGACTGCGACTGCGAGATCAGCAGAATTCTACAAGTGATCTCATCTGAATCTTAAGGGGAATGCTTCCAGATATGCTTGTACACGTCGCTGTCAGGTTGCTTTGCCGGGATAATTTGTTGTGGCATGTCAGGGCACACGGGAGGATTGTGAGGACGGCGGGAGACCTCCAGAGCAAACGAGGTTCGAGGACAAGGACTTTTGGACAGTCTTCGCTTCCTCCTGGGCCTCGGGGAGGTTTCTTGTCGCCACGCCTGGATTCCCCGTCAGAGTTCCGGTCAAACGCACCCCAGGACGGGTCATGGGGGTCGATTTGAGTATCCACGCCTTGGACCCCTCTGCGCGGACCCTACGTCCTGGAGGGTGGAGGGTGGAGGGGAGGTGGAGGATGGAGGGTCCTCCAGAAGAGCCCCCCCGCACCTCCAGCTAAGGAAGGGAAGCGGGAGCAGGAGGAAAAGGATGAGGAGGAGGAGCAGGGGAAGAGGAGGAGGAACAGGTGAGGAGGAGAAGGAGGAGGAGAGGAAGGACTCTGGCTCTCCGTCCTCCTCCTCCCTTCCCTGGTCCCTGGGGGTCCGCCGCTGCTGGACGCGGCTCGGTGAACGGGCCAGGAATGGTGTTCAGGAGGGGTCTGGGGACCCATTTTGAGCGGGTTCTTGCTGGGAGGCTCGTGCTGGAGGGCGAGGTTCTGTATACCTCTAGGCGTTGTGCCTGCCTTCACGCCGGGTGCGATCTTACCCCCTCTCGGGCCGCTTCGATGGGCGAGGGCGGGTAGGCACGAGGGCGCGGTGGGCGGCTCTCCCCACGGCGGGCGGGCGCAGGAGCGCTGCACAGGCCGCCTGCTCTGGCGGGAGGCTTGTCCCGAGGAAGGGGTCGACAGCCTCAGGGGCGGGCGATTCCAAACAGGCGAGTGGTCCGAGCTGCGGGTCCTCCTCCTCCGCCCTCCTTGCAGGGGAGGTCGGTGCTGGTCTCATCGGGGCTGCGAGCGTCGGCCGAGTTTTATCGCCGACGAGGTCGGCTGTCTGTCGGAGGGGTCAGCCATCGGTATCCGATCGGAGTAAGCGGCTTGCTTTTGCAACGCGCGCCAGCGCACGGTCCTGGGATGCCATCATCAGTCCGGCAAGAGCCCACCCGACGCACCTCCCCAGAGGAGCAACGCCGCCGTGGAGTCCGTGGAGCTCCTGGCCCGCGACCGCGGCAGCCTGTTTATGGAGGCCGCGGGGGTGAGGCTGTGGTGGGCGGGAGATGCCCACACCCACGGCATCGCAGTCTGAACGCCCTGGCCGCGATCCTGCGGCATACCCGATCGGCCCCCGGACGGAAGCAAGCCGCGCGGGCGAGAGCCGTCGGGGGCCGCGCCTCTCTTGCCGGGCCCGCGCCCCTCGGCGTGTCCAGACCGCGAGGGCAGGGATATACGGGAGGTTCGCGTCGTGTCGACCGGCTGCGACCCTGCCGCGGGCATTCAATGTTGAACGCCGCCAGCGGCCCAGAGTCGGTTGATACAGGACAGTTTGGCGATCGGAAGGCCGCCGATCGTCCGAGGTTGAACGATGCACGCGGTGTCTGAAGCCAGCGCCGAAGTCGGCACGACACGAACTTGCCGTATGGGTCTGGCCGCTCGCTGGCCGCGAGGCTGATGAAGGGGCTCGAGGCGAACTCCAGGCTGAGGAAGCTGTGCGTGGACGGCCTGCCCCTCAAGGAGCGGGGGGCAGCCGCCCTCGGGCGCATGCTGGGCACGAACGGCACGCTGCGGTCGATCCGCATCCACGGCCTCGACGCGGAAGTTCGCGCTGGGGAGGTTTGAGCGGCGCGCCAAAGATTTGGGCCTCCCAGATGGGGTCGGAATGGATGGTCATCGAGGAGAAAGGAACCCTTGACCCTGATATCACGATGAAGACGCAGCCTCACTGAGGTCCCCCGTCTTTGCATTAGGGGTAATAGATCTGGGCTGGTTGGTTCGATCCATCTGCAGAAAAGACCACCTGTCCCTGATGCTCCTGGCTCTCCTGAACGATGTCGCCTCACAAAGGGTTAGAGGTCCTTTTATGCTTAATCAGATGGGGTCGGAGGATCGCGCCGCGTCGCCGATGCATCGGCGATGCGGCTCGATGTGGAGCCCAGTTTTCTCCATGCCGGCGTCGCTGGTGCATCGGCGACGCAGCGCGACCTTCTGATTTCATCTATTCGGACCCCATGTGGGAGTCCTCTAAGCTCGAAGTGAGCTGGGTGACCCACAGGGGCGCGACGATGAGCCGCGCCTCGCGCCTTGCGGCCTGGGCCACGAGGGTGCCGTTGTCTACAGGGCGGCGGCTCGAGGGCGCGACGATGACCGCAGGGCGGGCAGCGCGATGCGCGCAATGGGGCGACCCTCGTGGGCCTCCTGGCCTGGACCCGAGGAAGCGGGGCCCGAAGGCTGCAGCCCCAGGGGGCGGGGAGACCTCCGAGGAGGCCGCCCCGCTCGCGCCACCCCCTCCTGCCCTAAGAGCCGACGCCGCGAGAAAGCTGCAACATCTGGAACAAAGGCAAACTGACTGTTATCATTGTTATTATTCGTATCATTGTTATTCTTATTACCGCAGGCCCCAGACCACACCTTTGCCGCGGCAACTGTCGAGCCGGATCGATATATGTGATGGTCTTGGGGCCCGAATCTTCTGGCGAAAATGCCGGGTGTGAAACGATGGCAACACCTGGGTATCGGTGGCGCGCCGCTTCAAGAGGTCCTCGCTGGCGCCCTGAGGGTCAACACCTCCCTGCGCGTCCTAAAGCTCGAGGATGTGGCCAGCGGCTACGGTGCGCTCGGTGTCGCGCTCGCGGAGGCCCTGCGGGGCAACCGCGCCCTGGAGACGCTGCGCCTCAGCTGCGCCGAGACCCGCGGCGCCGAGGAGGCGTGCGTGCGGCGGGCGTTCGAGCGCGCCCTGGAGGCGAACACGACGCTCAAGTCGCTAGCCCTCCCCGGCAGTCGAAGAGGAGGAAACGGCATAAACACATACGGTCGGACCGAGATATAAGAGTGAGGTCGGTTCGGAGAGGGTACCCTACTGTTCTTCGTGCTTGTTGCATGTTCTTGTTCATCCTGGGGAGGGTACCCTTGGATCTTCGGTTTGCGTTCGCCGACGGAGGGTCTCATGTTCTTGAGGGATGTTCTTCTGGCCTAACTAGGTCCGACTGTAAAGACGGAGTCCCGCGAGGATCTCTTGGATCTGCGCTGGGCTCCTCCAGGGTGGGGGGGTCCCGCGCTGGTCCACGAAATCCTCGCGGGCCTCCAGAAGGTTCTATGTTTATGTAGCGTTCTCCCCCTTCAGGCAGGGACTCGGACGGACGGCTCGCTGCCTCCGTGGAGCGCAACCGCGCGCTGCCACGTCACCGGTGGCACCTGCGGTTGGTGGCGCGGCACAGCTCGGACGCCGCCGTGCGCGCGGCCGTGGAGGCGATGTCCGAGTCGGGTTTCTGCCTGTCCGTGTTCGCCTTCTTCGTGCCCCGTGCGGCGGCTGACGGCGGCCGGTGACGCCTCGGAGCAAGGGCCCCGCGTTCCTGTAGTCGATGGACAGAAAACTGCATACGCTCAATTTCTCGGAGGTCCGCCCGGATTTCTTGGATCGGTGCCGGCCCTCCTGGGCGGCACTTCAGGTCTGGCGCCGCCCCTGGCGCGCTCCGCGCGCTGGCGAGGGGGGTCCAGCGCTGATCCAAGAGTTCCGCGCTGGCTTCCGAGAGGTTATTCTTATGCCGTCTTCTGTTCCTCTTGGTGGGTGGAGGGCGGCTCCTGCCCCGTGGCAGGGGAGGCAAGAGTCGGCCACGGGCGGAGGGGGGTAGGGGTGGAGGGGAGGGCTTCTTAGAAGCACCCCTGTCTCTTAGAAGGCGCGGGCCTTGTCTACAGATGTAGGGCCTGCGCCTTTGAAGACGCGGCCTCTTTCCAAGAAGCTTCCCCCCTTCCCCTTACCCCCCTGTGCGCGCCGCCGAAGGCAGGCAAGAGGCCCCGTGACCCCTCGACGCCGTGTCAGCCAGGGCCCTTCGTTTGCGATCTGGTGGCCAGCTACGGTTCCTCAGGAGGCCGAGGTCTAGGAAGAAAGCGCCAGTGCTGAAAAAGTACAGCCGGACCGAGGTATAAGATCGAGGTAGGTTCGGGGAGGGTAGCCTCATGTTCCTCGTGTTTGCTGGATGTTCTTGTGCATCCTGTGGAGGGTACCCTCGGATGTTCTGTTTGTTTTGGCCGACGGAGGGTTTCATTTTCTTGAAGGATCTTATTATGGCCTCGGTCCGACTGTACGACGTCGGACGTTTAGGCTCTTGAGCCCATCCTGCCCCGTGGTCTGCCCCCTTCTGCTCGGTTTGCGCTGTGCCTTCGGCGACGGCGGCCTACTGCGGCCGTCAACCGGTCCAAATATTCGGCTGGGCCAGGTTGGTGGCTCGTAGTGTCAGGGCGTCCGCGGGGGGGAGCGAGATGATGGGAGGGCCTGGACCTCCAACGTCGTGATCTTACTATTGTTGATGCTGACGGTTTTTGCTCTATCTCGCCCTCTGGGCTTGAAGCTGACGGCTCGTGATTAATCACAGGCCCCCAGGGATAGGGTGTCCGAGGTTCGGTCGGTCCGGCTGTGCGTCGCAGTCGGTTGTATTCGGTCGTTCTGGTCTGGTCGGTTCTTGCGCCAGTGATGCGTGGATGCGCCCTTGCTGCCTGCGACCTGTCGGTTTTCGGCTGGTCTCAGATTCGTTCTCGGTCCAGTCGGTTTGCAGCGGTGTTTTCGCCGTGGACGGCCTTGGCCGAGAGGATGCAACTCTTGGAAGGTTAAATTCGATATCGGCGCATGTATATCCGTGGTCGAGAACCGACCCAATCCCGCTCACTCCTGTTTGATCCCGCTCAATCTGGCTTAGTTCGCCTTATCCAGCTGACTCCCGGGCTTACTCCAGCTCAATGGCCTTCTGATCGGGCTTCAAATCGATTGATCGTTCTTGCAAAGGCCCCCCAGGAGTCGCTTCCTAACAGAAGCCAGGGGGGGGGGCACAGCATTGGACAAGAGTCACGACGTCGTAGGTCCAGGCTGGACGGGACGGGGCACATGCGGCGTGTGGCCGCGCGGCGTCACGCCACGACCCGGCCCGCGGTATTCTAATTCATCAAGCTTCTCTGGCGCCGCGGCACGAGAGCGGGTGCTCGGGAGTGCGGCGATCCGCGGGTCCCGTGAAGCGGGGCGTGTCTCGTTCTCGCCGCGTCGGTGGCAGGCGGGGAGGGGGGGGGAGGCAATACCGACCATCGGCGGCACGCAGGAGAGGGCGGCGCGAGAGGGGCTGCCCCCCGAGATGGCGGTGGGGCTGCACGAGGGCCAAGTGAGGAACTCCCTGGAGGCCCCGCGCGGCGCGCAACAGCTGTACCATCCAGTCCACACGTCCGCCCTGTCAGATATGGGACGACGTTCGCGCGGCGGTGCTCCGGCGTGATTCAATACGACGTGAATCCGACGTGAATGCGACGTGCATGCGACGTGGGTACGACGTACATTGGGTCTCAAGTCGCCGCGCGAGGCCTCCAACGTGTTCCTCAAAGGGTAGCCCCCTTGTCTCCTGCGGGGCCTTGCTCTGGGAGCCTCCCTTGGCTCTTCCAAGAAGGCCCCCCTACTACGCCTTCTCGGGAGCCTCTGGCGCGCCGCCAGACCCGCGCGCTCGGACCGCCTCTTCCAGTAATTATCGGGCCTCTGCGGCGAGGGTCCTCAGCACGGCGTGAGGCCATGCTGCGTAGCTTTCTCGGCCGCTGCGAATTTGAATCTAGTGGTTGCTCTGGCCGTGTCTGATCGGCCAAATTGGAAAGGGGGCCCTCGCGGGTCGTTTTTCTCGGAAGCACCTCCCTCGTAAAGGCGTGGGGCGGCGGCTCTCTGGCCTCTTCCCGCGCTCTGGGCGCAGAGTGTGAGGGGGGACGTCCTCCCAGCCTTCGGGCATGCTGTCCGCCTGCGCCACTCCGCTCGCAGTGACGTTTCAGTCATCCGCCAAGGGTCCAAAGTGCCCCTCGTGTAGATCACCTCCGCGGAGGAGGAGGAGGAGGAGGAGGAGGAGGAGGAGGAGGAGGAAGAGGAAGAGGAGGAGGAGGAGGAGGAGGAGGAGGAGGAGGAGGAGGAGGAGAATAATCATGAGGACGAGGAGAACGAGGAGGACGAGGAGGACGACGACGACGGCGACGGCGCTTAGCATGAGAACATGCAGTGTGGACGACCACCGATGGGGATGAGGTTCCCTGCTGCCCTTGGAGGTCCCTGGATGCACACGAAGCCTCCAGCGGCCTTTGGAAGCCCAACGAGGCCCACGCGCGTGCAAAGACGTTTAGCACCAGGAGGAGGAGGAGAATGAGGAGGAGGAGGAGGAGAAATACGGGGAGGAGGAGGAGGAGGAGCAGGAGCAGGAGGAGGAGGAGGAGGAGGAGGAGAGTCATTTTTCGCTGGGGTGGAGGCAGACCGAGCGTGAGCCTGCCGAGGCAAAGCTACTCGAATGGGGGCGCCGCCCCCGGCCCGCGCGCCTCCCCCACCCTGTGGCGCGTGCAGCGCCTTCGGCTGGAGAGCCCGCCCTTGTTGTACAGCCCGCGCCCCTCCAGCCGCCGCCGCGCGCCACCGGGCGCCGCGGGGATCTAGGCCTCCTAGATGGGGTCGGAGCAGATGGGGTCGGAGGATCGCGCCGCATCGCCGATGCATCGCGGATGCAGCTCGCTGCGGAGCCCGATTTTCTTCGCGCGGACGTCGCCCATGCATCGGCTACGCAGCCCGACGTTCTGAATTCATCTATTCGGACCCCATCTACTCGGATGCATCGCCGCTGATGCATCGCCGATGCATCGCCGATGTATCGGCGATGCGGCGCGATCCTCCGACCCCATCTACTCGGACCCCATCTAGTTGGTCTCTAATCCAGCCGCCGCCGCGCGCCACCGGGCGCCGCGGGGAGGAGTGGCCGGGAGACCCCCGCCGCACCACGCCGCCGATCCGTGTGCAGATTGCGCGGGGCTGGCGGCCTTCAGTCGCGAGGGCAACCCTCTCGTCAGCCCAGGCCTATGGCGCCGATCACAGTCCAGCCCAGACCACTGACGAGAGGGGCGCCTCGCGGGGGCGCCCCTCTCGTCAGTGGTCTGGGCGCAGTCGCTTCGCCCCTCTGCGGCGGAGTCGCTTCGCCACGGCAGGACGCAGCTGAAAGCGCGTTTCCCGCAGGGATGGGTGGTCTCTGGTTGGGGGTTTGACGTCGTGGTTTCGAAACATGCCTTTCCTTCACCTCGACCTCCGGGAGCCCTCTCTGGGCCCTGGGGCGAAAAGCTGGCCTTGCGGGGAAGGGAGCTCCACCTGCAGACTTGCGAGAAACAATCCGCCGGGTGCCCGGAATGGAGAGCGCTGACCTGACCAGACCCACAGGGATTGGGCGAACCACGATAGATACAGAGCTCCCCAAGTACTTGTAGTATCACGGAACATATTACGCCTTTCGTGTCTGCCTCGCTCAAGAAGCCGAGGCTTCGGTATACTTCTCAGCGCGTCGCGAAGTGGCAGGCCGAGGCCCAAATGCACTTTCAACGCCCTCCGACCTTGTTCTTCGACCTACTTGCTTCGACTGGCCCGTACAGAGATGGGTGCCCCAGATCACCGCCGTGGTGAGACCTGAGCTCCTTGCTTCGCTCGTCTTCTTCGTGCCTTCTTCGTGCGCCCCATGAGGCCTTTTCTGGCCTTCTTCGCGCTCCGTGCTGGGCCGTGTTCGCCTCCTTCGTGCCCCGTGCGGCCGCCGACGGCGGCCGATGGCGCCTCGGAGCAGGGACCCCATGTCTCTTGGGGAGTGGTCGGACGGGGCTATGATGAGGACAAATCCGTTCTGGAGCGTTCTGGAACGCTCTCGCAGCGCTCCGGGACGCTCTGAGAAGGCCGCGGCGACCTATACATCCTCCAGAGCCGCCCGATCTCAGAGATTCTCGATGTATCCTCACCCGAATTGTTTCAGAGATTTTCCATTTATCTTCACCCGCATTTATACCCTCTCCTCTTGGCTTCGTCTCAAGGGGGTTTAAGAGCGGTCCCTGCCCTGGGCAGTCGAGGGCAGGGACCCTGACCTCCGACGCCGTGCTCTGCGCAATGGCCCTCCAACCTCTCGACTCCTCCCTGGCGGTCGGAGGACGCGTAGTGGGGGGGCGATGAAAGGGTGGGGCGACGGGGGCGATCAATGGAGGTGCTGCGAGGGGGGCGATAAATGGAGGGGCAGCGAGGGGCGGCGAGGGCTGGGGGCGAGACTGTAGGAGGGGGGGCGATCAACGGGGGGGCAGCGAGGGGGGCCATAAAGGGTGAATTGATGGGGGGCGATACATTGGGGGGCAGCGAGGGCTGCAGAAAGGGGGTCCTTTAGGACACCTAAAGAGGCCCTGTCTGTTCCCAAAGGGGGCATTCAGGGCCCGAGAAGGGCACCTTTCGTTGCTTGCCCCCCACTCATGGCCCGACGGTGGCCCGTTTCCCTTGCAGGGCAATTTTCCTTGCGGTCCCCGAGGCCCTAAAC